CTGTTTATCTTTCGTGAAGAGGCTAAGGACTGTGAAGACCGTGGAGGAGAGGGGCTGAATCAGGAAAAATTCTTGAACCGCCTCTGGATTACCTTTCATTTCCTCCAGCCGTTTGCATATCCATTTGATTTTATCGTTGACTAATTTGTCTGCGACGTCTCCGTGGAAAAACTAGTTGCTAGCGTGTTTGATGTAGGTCTTGTCCCTTGCCTCCATTTTGTCGGGCGGGTATGTTTTCATCACTGTGTTTCCCCCTTTTTGATCCACCACTTGATTCTCTGAGGGAAGGAGAAATAGGGTTAGAAAATATGCCCTCGCCGAAGAAAGGTTGTGGATGGGCACTTTTAAGGTCTCTTCCATTCCTTGTTGTGGGCCCTGGGCGTCACGTTTGATGTCGAGGGATTTTTCTTGGATTGTATTTCTGACTCGTTGTGCCCATAAGGGCCTTAATCCCCCCTCGTTTCCCCTCTGTTCCATCCCAGCAGTCTGTTTTTGTTTGCCTTTTTCTGAGTTTTTTCCTCTTCCGTCAGCATTTCTTCATCTTCCTCTTCCTCGCTCCCACTTTCTTCCTCCATCTCCACCTCTTCACCTCCCTCCTCCCCCTTTATCCCTAGGGAGATGCTTGTGATGTCGACCCGGTACCCTCCCTGCTCTCGTCCGCATGGGGTGGTCGCAGTTCTTCAGAGACAGGCATGATTTTTCCACGATTCAAGGCTTCGGCCAGGCTCGGTCATCGATGCTGATTCGACTGATACAAGTCTGGGTGTGGGAGGCGACTCAGTCGGGAGAGGGGGGTTCTTCCGGTCGCTGGCCTTCCATAGGGGGATGCCGCTAACTGCCTGCATGGGTTATGCCTCATGGCCCCTTGGTAAAAAATGAGGGATCCCGACCCCCTCATTCTTCTGTGACCTAGCTCCATCGAGCGATTGTTTTACCACGCCCAGGTGCTTTGTGTGTGTGTGTTTTTTTGTTGAAAACAATTGTGTATTACCTGTTTTTTTTTTGGGGGGGGGGGGGGTATGGTTTTTTTTTTTTTTTTTTTTTTTGTTATGATTTTTTATTTTCATTTTAAGGTGATCGTTCCGAGAATAGCTCGCGCTGGCTTGGGGAAACCCGGGAGCGGGGAGGGGATGGCAGGTAAGGGATAGAGGGAAACACTCGGGGAGGCGGAAGGAGATTTACTGGCGTACTTTATTGTTTTGTGTTGTCGTTGCCGATGTCTAACCCCGTCCTCTTTCTTCCTATCCGCTGCTTGTTCTCCTTCGCTCCTTATGCATTATTCCTCCGATCTCCAGCAATAGTGCTCATCTTCCTCGTTTCGTGTCTTTTCAAGTATGGACAACGCCTCTCCTCCCTACCCTCCATCGCTGTGAACGATGACGATGCTCGTCTTCCCCGTCGGCCGATCAATTCTGACCCTTCTATCTCATGTCGAGTTCCCGCCGATCTATCCCTATCCTTTTTCTTCTGCCTCGTGTCGAGAGTGCTCGAGAGTGTTGCAAGTAAGGTGTTGACATCTTTCCCTCTGGCTCCCTGCGTTTCGCCAACCTCACACCTCCTCTCCCCCCTATCCACCCTTGTTATGGTCGAAGATGATTCTCGCCTTTCCCCGTCAACCACGTGTCGATAGTGCAGTGGGACTCCCTTCTTTCCAGCAGATCCACCTGTTTCCTGCCCTCCTTCGTTTCGCCTTCCTTTCCTTTCCTCTTCCGCCTCGTGTCCAGAGCGCAGTACGCGCCTCACCTTCCTGTCCTTCCTCGATATAGTCAACGCCCCTCCTTCCTCTGACTACCCTCCGTCGTTGATCTTCTCCGGCCCTACCTGCGTACACCCTCCAATATTAACTAGTGGGTATGGTATAATGCTTCTTTTCTTTTTTCTCCCCTGACCATCACCTTGCGACTGCGGATGTCGTGCCGAGACGATTACTCCGGACGTTTTGCTCCCGTTCCTTGCGAATTGACCTCTCACACTTCGGTCGTACCAAAGGCTCACTCCACTTCTTCTCCACCAGTATCAGCCCAAGATGCCACGTGTCGGAAACACGGCGGCTGCGGGAGTTCCACGTGGAACCCCCGTGCAAGGGGTCAGGCCACTAAGCATGTCAGCTCGTGACGTGGTATGGCCCAACACCGATGTGCGACCGCGCGTGCGCGAAGCGCCCCAGCAGTGTCCGCAACGGGCCCAGCAGCATCATTCCACATCCATACACTCATCTATCTTGGACAACGAAACATTCAGCATCCATAAACCCTCGTAACCAACATCATCCATGTGACTGAGTATCCACACATAGTCTACTGGACACACAACACTTGGAGAAAAGAGTAAGTCCCTCGCTATTCAAAATTCCAGCAGTGTTGGCCTCCGTTGGTTGCGCAGCCACCAACCAACCATAACATCAGCCAACCATAGCCACAAGGCGTTGCCGCAGGCTACGTTCTATCTCCACCACCGCTAAGTCTCTCCGACTGCTTTACGCCAAGTCTACCGCTAATCCCACCTCACGCCGTCACTCTGCCCGTCACTTGGGCACGTCGAGCATGTTCGACGCTGTGGTCTTTGCGCATAGCTCGCACAACATTGCAGCCGAGATCAAAGAGAAGGAGAGGAAAGGGCTGCGAGAATTTTTTGTGCGGAAGGCTGCAAGGTGCCAGCATGTTGTGCGGGCAGCAAGGGGTGTAGATGAGCAGGACAGAAGAAAGGAGGAGGTACCAGAAGGGTCGAAGAAGGGGGAATGATCGACAATTTCATTCAATTGGAGTAGTCATTTAAGTTGCGCTCGTAAGTTTGCTTTCGCGGCATTGATCCGGCCATCCCAGCTAACGACCAATCAATCGCACGGAAAGATAAGGGGAGGATCGGGCGCATAGTTGGGGGAAGACGAAGGGACATGTAAGGAGGGGCGCTCAGCAAATAGGAAAGATGGCACGCATATGCAGAGTGGGAAACGAGTTCACACGGCGTGCAAGAATTCAAAAATGGCCACGTGCACTCTAGCATGAAGAAAATTTGAATGCCGACAACTGAAATTCCTAACTATTTCTTGAATTCCTCTGCGCAGTCGCTAACCGTCCGCGAGGAGTAATTTGAACGAGGACAGGGGCAATTCCGAAAGATGCATGCATTTAATCCCCGAAAGTGAAAAATGGACCCCACTTTCCTTGATCAGCTAAGATCCGTGCTTCGGAATTTACTTCGGGTTTTACTCCGAAGGGTACGTGAAGCCGCGAAGTACAGATCCCGACTTATCACAAGCGTTCTTTGAGCAACGAAGTATTGTAAGTATAGAAGCTAGGGCCTCGTGAAAGGTGGTGGTGGAGGGATAGCCCCAGCACTATACCCCTGTGATCAAAGCATCGGCAGGGGCTTATAGTCTGAATCTCAACCACGATCACTAGCAGCGAAATGGAGTGAGAGATGAGGAAGTAATCTATCCTAGAATTTGGGAGGCCCGCCGCTCCCCTAGGCCTCAGGCATGTATATGCGTGTTTGGTAGGGTGGAGTTGGTGGTAGATGTCGCGCAACTGAATTTCTGATGTTAGTTGGTTGAGCAGAAGCACGTTTGGTGCCATGTCACCTCCAATTGGGTGAGAGGATGATTGACTGTCTATCTCTGGGTCGGGGGTGATATTGAAGTCCCCGGCCAGAATAAGCGGGCAGTCCTTTGGCAGCGACTGATAGTGGTTGTGCATTATCGTAACCTATCATTGTTGTTATTCGGCCCGTATACACAGGCTATGAACACCGTCTCATCCCCTATAGATGCTTTCAAGAAGACCCATCTCCCTTCTTGCTCATCATATTCGGAGTGGAGGGGCTTCAGCCGTGAGGAGGGTGGGAGCCATATGTCCACTCCCGCCGAGGCTCATGTGCTGGTCGGGGCCGAGTAGGTTGTATCAGGCCCGTATGTGGCCAGACATGTCTTCTTTTGGGCTCTCGTGGTTAGTAGTGCGCGAGAGGTCTGTCTCCTGTAGACAAACAGCATCCAGCCAGTCTGTGGAGTCCGGGTGCTTGACCTCATTCCAGATGTCTTTTATTTTTTGTTGGTGTGCTGTCATCAGAGGCTCTAATCTTTTCAAAAGGACACTGGATCTGTTTTCCAGCAGGTCCAGCACCATGCCAATAGAAACAAGCCATTGTTGCATACTGTAACGTGCAGACCAGAACAAGAACCGACCTCTCAATACAAAGTACAAGATAACACAGCGGAAGACTTAGATACGAATGATCCGAACAATCAATATTGCAATGCAGCTCTGAACACACATCACCATCATCGTTATCTGGCGTGAAGGAGGTCTGGCGCTTCACACAAGAAGACTGCGCCAGCCCCAACCATACACAGACGAAGAAGGAGGGGTTAGACGAAACAGGAGGGGAAGATGGGAATGTCGTCAACACCAAGTCTCGGTAGAGGCCCAAATAGTCCCTCGTCGAAATGTCTGAATCCCAATGTCCAGTCTGGATCCAATGTCGTCAAGTCTCAAGTCACAACTCTTTCTCTCTCTGTCGTAGTCTGAGAAGTCAGGTGGCGAGAGGGTGAGAAGAGATGGTGGACTTAGAAGAGGAAGACGAAGAACTCTCTCTCTCTCTGTGTCCAGTACTAACCTGTGAAGTTGGCGCCTTGATGCAGGTACCACGAAGATGGAGCTGGAGCGATGGCGCCACAGGTAAGTACCACTGGCCTCCGCCAGTATCTCTCCCACTCCACGATCTCCCACCTACCAGCGCCCAGCGCTGAAGACTACTGCTAGCGCTACTACTACTGCCTAGCGCTGAAGACTACTGCAGCGCTCCTCCTGAGTGCTACGGCCGAATCCTGAAGACTACTCGTGCCTACCGAAAACTACCTGCCCGTGAAGTGCCTGGGAAGCCCTATGAACTACCCGGGTGCCTCCTGACTGCAGGCGAGCAGTCCAGGAGGCTGCTCTTGCCAATGCCGATCGGAGGCAGGGGCTGCCGCTGCAGCTCCTGCTCAAACTCGTGAGGAACAGGCTATTTCTGGCATGTTCCGCATCCCTGTTTACGTGCCTGAGTCTTAGGGGCGGTTGAAACAATGAGGGCCTGAAAATGGCCCTCCGTTTCAAGCTGGATCTTACCTGCGAGGGTGAAGCTGTCTGTCTGAGGGAGGGACCACAGTCCGGGTGGGAGGGGCTGGTCGTGAAGCTTCCTGAGCTAACCTCCGCCTTTCACAATGCGCGTAGATCAGCGGTGCGGATGCTTTCAAATCTGCGCCTGAAATCCACCGAGTGTCGTCGCGATAGCATGCTTTGAATGTGACTTTGTACTGCCGCGGCTTGCTGCCGTACTTGCGATCAGTGATGACGCGGTCAACTTCCTGATGACCATCCATAGAAGGAGGGTCCTGCGATCGTCGGTCCGGAAAGTCGTCGCTCTTGGCTGGCATGTATGTTGCCAGCTTCGAGGCGTGGAAGACCGGATGGACCGTCAGATGCTCTGGAATGTTGATCACAAATGAAGGGCCATCGGGCTCATCGCCCGCGGCTGCTGTCACAGACCAAGGTCCAAACCACTTGGGAAGCAGTTTTCGTGAAACATCCTGTTCCAGTGCAAACTCTTCTGCGGAGACCCAAACCAGATCACCGGCGCGGATGGGACATGGTACGCAACACCTGTTGGCTTGCTGCTGCATGCGGACGTGAGCCTTTTGCATGTTTGCGCGGGCTTGAGTCAACAATTCCCTGTACTTCCGGACGGAAGCGGGAGAGCAGGCAGCATCAATGTCGGCTGGTCGAAGGAGCAGAAGGTCTGCGGAGTCACGCCGATCGCCGGATGCACCGAAGTGTTGTAGGCGAACTCGATGTCGGGGAGGCGGTCAACCCAATCTTTCTGGTCCGGACGGATGAGCGTACGAAGCATCATTTGAGCGGTTTAATGTGCCCGCTCCATCTGCCCGTCTGTCTGTGGATGCCGAGCCAAATTGGTTTCATTGTTGTGCCGGACTCCTGCATGAGAGCAGTCCAAAATGCCGACATGAAACGAGTGTCGCGGTCGCTGACAATGTCTTCTGGTACACCATGGCCACAAATCCAACCAGTGTGCAGGAGGCGTGCCATCTCGGGAGCTGTGGAGTAGTACTTGCAAGGGAGAAAACGCGCGTACTTACTCAATCGGTCCACAACCTGTCTCTTATACACATCTGCTGTGGAGTAGTACTTGCAAGGGAGAAAACGCGCGTACTTACTCAATCGGTCCACAACCGTGAGGATGCCGTTGTGCCCGAGCCTGTCGCGAGGAAACGGACCGGTGACGTCTATGGCATTGGGGAGACCGGGTTCCCGTGGGATAGGCATCGGGGGTAACTCGCCATAGGGATTGCGGTTGTGGGGTTTGCTGCGTCGGCAAACTTCGCACGAGTCGCAATACCAAGTGACATCGGTAATGAGGTCAAGCCATCGGAATTGTTGTCGAAGCCGTGCAATAGTGCGGTTGACTCCGAAATGGCCGACGAGTCGCGAATCATGATACTCGCCGAGGAGGCGAGTCCGAAGACGACGGTCGCGTGGGACACATTGTAAGTCCTTGCCTCTTGAGTGGAGGAGCAAGTACCCGTCGGCAATACGGTAATGGCTGGCCGGCGGGTGATCCGAAGATAGCTGTGCATATAGTGTGGCGAAGTCCGGATCAGACTGGTATGTCCGGATGAAGTGTCGCTGAAGCTCCTCGTCGAATGCGAAGGCATGATGAGTCATAGCGCAAAGATCAGGTCTTCGCGAGAGTGCATCTGCTGCACAATTGGAGAGGCCAGGAAGATGTTTCGGTGTGAAGTCAAATTGGTCGATGAAGTACATCCACTGTCCGATAGTACTGCTCATCGTATCCTGCGTCTTGTAGTAGGTCAATGGATTGTTGTCCGTAACCCATGTGAACCTACGACACCCAAGGAGGAAGTGCCACCATCGCTTGAGAGCCATGACGAACGTGAGTAGCTCCTTCTTCCTTGCATCATCAAGCGAGTTGATGGGAGGCACTTTGTGGCTGAAATACTCCACAGGGTGCCAGTCGTCGTCGTCGTTTGTTCCAAGACTGCCCCAATGCCATAGCCGGAAATGTCTGTAGTCACTCTCGTCGATAAGGTGGGGTCATAGATGCTGAGGATGGGTGCCATGAGTATGGTCGTCTTAAGTGCTTGGAATGACCGGCGTGCGTCGTCATCGAATACGAATGGCACCTTTGGCGACTGTAACCTCGTCACAGGTGAGTATCCGGTGATGAATCGCTGATAGTAGCCCGCCAATCCCATGAATGAACGAACGTCCGTGGTGTTGGTGGGCTCGGGCCATACTCATAGGGCCTCGATCTTGTCCGCAAGCGGACGGATGCCTTGCGGCGTCACATAATGGCCCAAGTACTCCAGCTCCTGCCGCGCGAATTCACACTTGTCGTGGTTGACTTTGTACTTGGTTTGTCGTAACCGCTCCAAAACGGTGCGCAAGTGTTCCACATGCTCCTCCAAACTCCGGTTGTACACCGGAATGTCGTCGAGGTAGATAAGTACGTATCGATCCAGCATGTGTCGGAACTCCGTTGTCATAGCCGCTTGGAAAGTGGTCGGGGCATTCATAAGGCCGAATGGCATAACCAGCCATTCGAAATGCCCATATCGCGTCTTGAACGCGGTCTTGTAGCGATCCTCCTTGCGAATCTCGAGTTGGTGATATCTCGACTTGAGATCGATCTTGGAGAAGAACTTGGCGCCGCCCAGTCGCTCGAGAAGATCGTCGATGCGTGGGAGAGGGTCGGCGTTTTTGATCGTCTGCGCGTTGAGCTTGCGATAATCGATGCACAACCGCAAATCCTTGTTCTTCTTCCGGACGAAGAGAACAGGAGCACCGTATGGCGATGAGCTAAGCCGAATCCAGCTTTTCTCCAGAAGGTCGTCGAGTTGTGCCCGAAGCACACTTAACTCTTCCTCGATCATTCGGTACATGCAACCACGCGGAGGTATGGCCCCATCCTCGAGGATGATCTCGTGGCGGATGGGTCGATCCGGTACTACTCCGTGCGTGCCTTCGAACACGTCATTGTAGGCGTCGAGAAGCTCAGTGATGCGTGGATCCGAAGGTGAGTCCGTCGATGAAGCGTCATGGGGCGGGAGGGCGTGGAGAAAACACACCCCCATCTCCTCGATGTCGTCTCTGATGATGGAAGCTCGCATGCTTGCGGCGGATACCACGTGGCAGCTGATCGAAGGATGAGGAAGAGGTACCGTGCATGGAACTAATGCTCCGTTCCGATCACAAATGTGAACGGTGCGGTGGAAGAAGTTCACCGGATGATCCTCGCTTCGCAGCCATGACATGCCCAAGATCATGTCGAATTTGGTGTCCAGAATATCAAAGGACACCGCCTCACTTGCGTGAGGGGCAAAGTACAGTGGGACGGCATTAATGCACCGGTCGATTGACTTGTGCGTGTGACCGTCCACCAACGTGACTTGCGTAGGCTGGGACTTCCTCCGGACGCGTGGGCCAAGGTCGGCGCGCATCATGAAGTCCTGGCTGATGTAGTTGCGAGATGCTCCGCAATCGATCAAGGCGTTGCAGGTCGCCTCTCCGATCTGAATGCGTAAATATAGCAATGGTGCGTCAATATCGTCGTACCGTTGCGTCTTGAACTCGCGGTCGATCTTCGCGATGTAAGCGTGAAGGTCGACAACCTCTACTCCGGCGTCCATCAACGGAGCTGGTCCTGCAGTGCGCAAGTAATCTCGCAGTTGTGCCATGAGCACATTGCAATGAGGCTTCGGCAATCGTCCGGTCGGGGGAACAGGCATCCACTGGAAGTCCGTGAACGTCAGTGGGTCGAGCACCTCAAGTCTTGACCACGATGATGAATCCCCGACAATAGATGGCGGCGAAGCTGCCGAATTGGTTGCCGATGGTGATGAAACCGTGCATGCGATAGATTGTTGCACGTGGAGCGGTTGGTCCAGCGGTGGAACCAAGTGGACAGCATAGTCCTCGTAAGTGTAACGAAAACCTGCGACATTCGCATCCTCCCCAGATGTGCAGGAGGCCGCTAGCAAGGCGGACGAATCTAGTGGAATGGAAGGTGGAGTCGCCTCACCTTCCGCGGAACTCAGTTTCCCGAGTTGAGGCGGGGTCGCACATCCTCCTTGCCCTGATCCTGGCACAGGAAGGTCTTGTGCTTGGTGTTGTTGCACCAATAGCAATTGCCGTAGCAGCCGCGGACCTTGTACTCCGCCTCGGTCAAGCCGAACTTGACCCATGGAACTTGTACTGGCTGTCCATTTCCGGCCTGCGATGCGGATTTCTCCTTCCCATTGTTGCGGGACTTGCTGTTGCTTCGCCACTGGACAGCAGCCACTTGATCTCCGTCACTTGATGTTGGAGTGGCTGCTCGGTTATGTCCACTGTGCGACTAGACTGCAGCGAAGTGTTGCTGTCGCGGACCAATTCGTACCTTCTCCACATAGGTCGGCTGCCATGTTGACTTCTCGTGTGCAGCTAACCTGTTGGTCTTGATGATATCCCTCGCCTTGTCAATGATCTCAGCGAAGGTTGAGTACTGCTCGCGATCACGAAGAGCCTGGCTCAATGCAGCACAGGACGTGTTGTAGAACTCACGACGTAGATGCGTGAATAGCAAGTCCAGATTGGGCACCGCCGCAATCTTCTGCCACTCCGTGAGCCAATCCCGTGTTGCAGTGTTGCCTTGTGACATGGTGAACAAACGGTTGATGGCAAGTGCCAGCGCGTCGTCGACGATGAACCGCTTCTTCCACAGGCGTGTCAGTTCCTCCCATGTGATTTTGTCCTTCACGTCCAGTACGTCAACGCTGTGAGAGGTTGCCCAACCAGGTCTAGCATCCGCCCTTTGAGTTCAGGAACAAGGCGCCGATGTACACGTGCTTGGCGACGGGCAGAATCCTGAGTTGCGTTGTGAATGCTTCCCACCAGAGGACCGGATCCTGCTGTGTGTAGTCATCGAACTTGTCCAGTTGGAAAGTTGGCATCTTGTACATCTTCGGATTGTCATCCGCGTTCGTCGACTGCAGCTGCTGGGCCTCGGTCTTCAAGGTATGCAGCTGACTGCTGATGGTGGTCGGCGCAGCGAAGGTGCTGATGTCGCCGAGCATTTCCACTACGTGGTCAGCACGTTCCTCCAGTTGGCAGCTAGAGGTTGCACTGCTGGAAGCCCCAGCAGCTTGTCCTGGTACAGCCTGTTCCAGGTTCAGCATTCGAGCATTGAGTGCCCGAGTTGCATCCTCGTGGCTCTGCACTGTGAGGCGGAGCTTCGCCAACTCCTGATGCTGTTGCGTCAGGTCCTGGTACTGTTTCTCCAACTCGGACTGTTGGTAGTTGCAAGTGTACAACAGTCGTGTCACGAGTTTGGAGAGAAACTCCTTATGCTGCTCTTCCGGTGTCGCGTCGTCGCCGTTGGGTTCAAAGTGCCAGAATTTGAGTCTGTCAACGCTGGCTGCTTCATGCCGCTGCAGCAGATCCTGGGCTTCCTTGCGGCGAGCCTGGGCCTCTGCGTCTGCTTCGGCCTGTAGCCGGAGCATCTCTGCTGCTGCCGCTTCGTCAGCCTGTAGCTGGGCAGCCTTGGCTGCCAGCTGGCGTTGTTCCTCAGCCTCGATTGCAGCGAGCTGAGCCTGGAACCGCTTCTTGACGTCGGCAATGGGCTCATTGGCCAGTTGGCCTGGCAGGCCCGTCATGTTGCTGACGTGGCACTGCTGACGTGGCACTGTGACGTGGCACTGTGTCTAACGTGGCACTGCTTACGTGGCACTGTGTCTGACATGGCACTGCTGACGTGGCACTGCTGACGTGGCACTGTCTGACATGGCACTGTCTGACATGGCACTGTACCAACCTGGAAATGCATGCAAA